GGGAGCTCTTGAAAGCACAGGAATTGCTGAGTTAATATTGTGTATCTGGTGAATCAGTAAACTGTATGTTGAGATAGTGCCAAAATAAAGAGAAAGCACAATCTGCCTTTTGGTCAGAGCAGAGCACTTTGGATTCCAATGGTTTTGGTTTGCTTGTTCTCTGGTCTGGGCCAATGGCTCTTAGTACAGGGTTCTGCTTAACTAAGCTGCATGTTTCAAACAGGACAATTTTGAGACCAATTAGAGACCTAAACCCAGCATTCTGAATCTTTATTTTGCAAAACCTATTTCTTTATTCCAAATAGCAAGAAACTATCCGGCACGTGGAAACATGTCTGGGAAACCCAAGCTGCACTACTTCAATGGACGAGGCCGAATGGAACCAATACGGTGGCTGCTGGCAGCAGCTGGAGTTGAGGTTTGCCTCTGTTTTCTTACACTAAGAGCATGTTACAAACATGTACTTTTAATGTTCCCTATGAAAAATGTCACTGACTGACTGACTGACTGACCTGCAGCTTCCAGGTACTTCCATTTACTGCATTGCTGACCAAGCCAACAATGACCCTGAGCTTACCCTAAGCAGGAGGCAAGTTCCTGTCTCACTTGCACACATCTTGTGCCAGGCCTACTGGTGGAACCACAGATGCCTCTCCCCTGTAGCTAGTGAAAGAAACAATTAAAACCACAGCAGCAGAACCTGGCTTCTTAACTTCTGATCACAGAGCTCGAGCACTTCCAATTCTGAAGACCTTCAGTTAAATGTCAAGGTTCAAAATAGCAAAGGACTAATTTTGCTGCTACAGTGTAGCTTACCCCTGCAGGCACTTTACATTATAAATCAAAGTTTTCTTTTTTACCACTAAGACTTTCTGATATTGAAGCAGAGGGGAGTGTGGGGATCGGTGAGTTTTTGTGAGCTGTGAGTTTTTGTCATGGTGATGGCCATTGCACCAGAAAGCTTTCAAATGTTATTTATTTTTTCAAAGCTAAAATGCCCCAAACACAGCTCTTT